GGAAATTATGTCGAGTGTAATAATCAACCGCGGCAAATTCTTTACAGTTTGATATTTTATGCTCATTATTGCAATAAGGACAGTTAAATTTGGCTACAGCGTTAGAGCTGGTTGCCATGGAGTGTATTACCTTAGGTTTTTGGTTTGAAACATTTCGTTTGCTTCTTTGTTTGGGATCCATGAACTCAAGTGACCGAAATCGGGTTTCCAGAAATTCTCTTAATTGGTTCAACGTTGGCAGTTCGGTGCGCACCTTCAGTGGCGATCCACCACTGGTTTCTAGTGCAAATTTTTCAAAAACACTTCCGACTCGATTAGGACCATGTACAATGACCAAACCAGATATCGAATTGACTACTACAGGTTATAATAAAACTACCGAGTGCTTGATACAAGTGCTTTATTAAGATATCATGCATCTTAGCTATACTATTTGCAAAGGGCAAATGATATCGAGATTTAGGAATGCAACAATTTTTTAGCAGTACCATCTAATGTCAAAACATTATATTAATAAAACTCTTATATGTCATTTATATGTAACTGTAGTAATATAATTTTGTATAAGTAAATTGTTTAACAATGCCATCTAGTATCAAAAATATTATAACATATTAAAGCGTTGAACACAATGTCTGCTATAAATGTATTCGTTATTTATAACTTCAATATCAATGAAGCTACCATAAACAGACGAATCTTTCTAAAGTTATTATCAACAGAATTAGTAAAAGCACATAGATTAGCGCGAGCAATAGTTTCGTCCCTGCCTAGCGCTTTGAAAAAGCGATTGTCAGAACCTGAAGCTGCGACTCTTTCAACGTCTAACACAAGATTGCACCTAGCAAAAAGAGGAAGGTGCTACATCTGTCCACGAAAAGGCGACAGGAAAACGACCGCAAAGTGCAATAAATGCAAAAATTTTATCTGTTGCGATCATACAAAGAAAATTTGTGATATTTGTTGAATAGTAACAGTACTTACCAAAAACATATTTTTCTATTGTTCTAAATATCTTTCTAGAATTTTTTTGTATTTTTCTAAAAGTTTAATAAGAAATTCAAATTCAATTCAATTCGTTTATTGCGAATATAGGTTGATACAGTTGGTGTTTACATAGTTTATCACTTATAGAACAAACATTTAGTACAGCTATATTCCGCCATTTGGCATGCAATGTCCATCACATTTTATTACTTTTATATTAAATTACTTAAACATACTTTAGTTAAAATTGGAATTAACATGATACAAAATCAAAAATAATAGCGATAAGTCAATTTAGATAATATTGTATAAGTCAAGTCAATTTAGTTATTCTCAGTCATGTAACAGTCAATTATTGAATTTCATATTTGTCTTCGAGATATTCTTTAGAAAAGAAATAAGAATAAAATAAGAAATAAGTAGAATAAAATCAATTAAAGTTGATTACTAATTAAAATGTGAGAATATTGAAATGAATGATTTTGCTACCACTGAGTGTGGCTCTGCAAGTATACTCAAAAACCAACCCAACCAGTCATGCTCAACGATAGTTATTAGAAATAAAATACTTAAACGTTTTGTTTGAAAAGCCGATATTTTTAAGCTTAGATTTTAGATTACGTTCCACATAACATTGAACTGACAAACTTGGTGATGAAAAAATATGCAAGCACTAGAATTAGCTATCTCGCAAAAAAGAATGATCCCAAAAAGTGTATTCGTCAAATATATATACTAAACCTATTCACTTTAAAAACCAGTAAAAACATAACTTAATACTTTTCACTTTGGTTTATTTTTGGTAGTTTTGTATTATTATTTTGTACCTTACGTATTTTTTAAATTTACTTTGAATGTAATATAGCACACTAAACATACTTTTGTCTTATTGTTCATTTTTATTTACTTTATTTGCTAATGCAACTAGCATAAAATTTCATCGACATATCCATATCAACACGGCCCTCGCACTAGTTGTTTATGTTTTTGTACACTGTAACGATGATACATTTATGAGAGATTTTTAAGGTTGTGTGCGTTTTGCTTACTCGTGTGCTCATATTATGCAATATGCGTGCGTAACGACGTGGAACTTTATGCGCATGCCGTCTCCTGTTAGTTGAATACTCTAATGCTAAAATCTATAGACCGTACTCTGACTTTGCTCAGACTTTACTTTCGAGCTAAGATAACGTCGGTATTTTTTTTTATAGGATAGGGTGACAAACGAGCACACAGTCCACCTGATGGTAAGTGGTTGCTGTGACCCATAGACATCTTCATTTATCTTTAATAAAGAATCAAAATGCAGATGCGTTGTCACCCGTGAGGACTAAGATGGAATGCCTCTTTTCCAGTAAAAAGGGTCTCCGGTTCTCTACTATCACCATACGAAACACAGCAACATAAAGCTGCTATTTTACGCTGGTATTCTGTGAGAGCGTGGTCCTTCCCCGGTCGAACCGACACATTGGTGCTGCAACTATACTACTAATATAGCTGCAGCATGGCTCTACCACGTATAAAAATTATTTATAGAACCAACTTCGAAATCATGCTGAGTACGCGCTAAGCAAAGCCTAAGTCAACGAAATCGACGACTTACAAAAAACTCAAGATATTATCCTAACAAAAGTAATGGTCCAAAATTACTTTACACTCAGAACTGAAAACTCTTTAACTTTGTCGTATTTTCTCAAATGAATTGATACCACATTAGAGAGAACTTCATGCAATTAAGAAAATCGTAAGACTAAAAATTTAACAATAATGCTGCTATAATTTCTGTAAAAATAGAAAAAAATATTATCATAATAAAATGATTTTGAAGGTTGGTTGCTTTTTTACTTCGATAAAAATATATTTTAAAAATAACTCAAAGGGAAAACTAGAATTGTCCATGGTCACACTAAAGTAACATAACAAACACAAACACCAATTTTAATTTGGTCTGGTCTGTGCCGTATTCTACGTTCTGCATAGTTGTTGTTTTGGTTAGGTTTCTTTAAAATATAACGATATCTCCCTAGTTTCGACCCAGCTTGCTTAACTCATTTTGTACCTTCTTTCACGGCTAAACACGGCTACCTTTTCAACGGATTTTGTACCTGCTATACCACTGACCCACCGCTATTCTCTTACGGACTCCGAAGCCCTAAAATGGAAAATACAAAAAAAAATACAAAAGTCTTACTCGGAATATGAAAAGCCAAGATCGGTGTGATCAAAAACCGAAGGACAGACGGCGTTTCACTTAGAAAGAAAAGTGAAGCTTGGGAAGAAATTACCTCTCAATTCAATAATTCGAACGTGACACAAATTGTAAGTAAAATTACCTAAATAATTCACATGTGTAATCATTAAAATCTTTTTAGTATATTTTCATACCAGTCGTTTGAATTAATTGGCGTCATTTTCGTGTTTATGCTAAAGTACCTTACTGATACTATATGCACATGCAGAGGCACTCAAATAAGTTGAACTATAAATTCTTGCTACATACTTACATTACATACTTACCCCTATAATAGCTCTAAGCTGAACCATGTGAAACATTGACATTTGACACCATTTCTAATATTTATCTACTATTAATTTTCAGGCCGATACTAAACAATTAAAAAAGATGTGACAAAATTTAAAAACAAAGGCCAGGGACGCCAAGACTCTGGAGGCCCAAAGGAAAAGGACAGGCGGAGAACCAGCTCTGTCAGATATGGAACCTTTGGAGTCTCAAGTAATAGCTGTCATACCAAATGTTTTGCCATCCATCAACATAGAAATTGACAGTGATACAATTGCTACCGGTAAGTTAACCATCATAAAAATGTGTTATTAATGGCAACACATTTAAAAGTTACTATATATATGACAAGCTTTTGCCTGTAATGTCAGTGTCAATTTATTAAAAATCCTGTAGTTACCCTGTTTAACTTGAATTAAAATAACCAAGATCTCTCCTTGGTAAATCCTCAATGGCCAAATTGGTTCAGCCATTTTGAAGATATTCCATGACTAACAGATATACAAAATCTGGTATTTGGGTTTTATAGATAAATTAAAGAATATTAAATCGCTTTTAACTTTCAAAACAATATACCTATTAATTTTTTATCTGCCACACATACCTACTCTATGGTTTTTATCCAGTGTTTGATAATAAAATTAACAGATGGATTGGATATCATAATACACAGTTACATCAAATATGTATTTCTATTAAATAAACTAGTAGAATGCGGCAAGTAAAGACTGTGTAAGAACCTCCGAAGGAGGCGGAGTTATAGCAGAAATAAGAATTTTTATTTTTTTTGTTATTGGCCATTTTGACCCCCTAGGTGTGTAATGAAAACTTTTTGCCCCTATTCAACCACGACCCCCATGACATCCTCTACATGATAGGCTATTCAAACTGACTATCTCTAAAGTTCGGGTCAGCCCCCAACCCATTCCTAGTCTTTACTTCCAATAATTAACTCATAAGTCATGATAGATTTTACTTAGCGTTTAGCACTATAAATTTAAATGATTTATTCACTCAAATATTATTAAGAGTCCAATAATGAATAGTATTTATTTAATGAGTAAGATGACATATGTGCTTGTAATTTCACTTATAACATTGTATTTCTATTTCCAGGTATAACCCTTGCACTAGACAACGACGAGCAAATGTGGCTCCCAAAGAGAGCTCGTATGTCTGATATGGAGCAAAATAATAATATAGAAATAGAATTCATAGACGACGTACAAAAAAAAAAATCTCAAAGCCGAAACAGGGAAAGCAGGAGAAAACTTTTGATGAACTGAAACAGGAGCTGATACTACAAGAATTAGAAAATAATAAGAAGAGACATGAGTATGAAAGCAGACGGGCTGAAGAAAAATATTTAAAGGAAACTGAATTTTTAGAAAAACACTAGCTTTAGAGTTAGAAATTTTATAAAGAAGAAAAGAAAAAGAAAATATTTTAAAAAATAAAGCGAAAAAGGGAATAAAATAAATTTTGTTTTACTATTTCTTAATTATTTAATAAAAATAAAAATAAATTGTGCTATTACAGACTGCCGATATGCTAGACCTGCAGTGGATGATGTTTCATTGTTTGGTCTTTCTGGAACTTCCGGTATATGATCATTATCACCATCGTCATAAGCAGCCCCACTCTGTATACCTATGTTGTGCAATACTGCACAAGCTACAATTATGTTGCTTGTATTAGTGAGCTTAGAACGTAGGCCCAACTGTAAGTATGGAAATTTCTTTTCCCATACTCCAAAAAACCTCTCAACTATATTACGGGTTCTTATTTAAACATAATTGTATTGGTTTTCTGTTCTTGTTACTGGAGTTATAAGAGGTGTTAAAACGAAAGGAAGAGAGGGATAACCACTGTCACCTACTAAAACTCCTTGCAAATTCCCACTTAGGAATCTAGCGTAAGCTTGAGAGTTTCTAAATATTCTGATATCATGTGAACTGCCAGGCCAGCGGGTTACTATATCAAAAATTTCTATGTTTGGGCCTACAATAGCTTGTACATTAATAGAGAAATATCCTTTACGATTTCGGTATATTTCAGAATGGGAGATACCTCTGGGTCTATTTATTTTAATATGCGTGCAGTCAATAGCGCCAATAATGTTGTTTAATCCATGCTGAATACTGGATCTTCCCAGTTCTTCAAATTTTCTTTTTACCACATTTATATTTCTTGGAAAATGTATATACCTTGGTAATAAATTGCTCAATTGTCTTGATACATTATTTATTATAAGACATACTGTGGATTGGCTTATGCCAGTCAAATCACCACACACCATCTGGAATATCAAGGAATATAGGTAATTACTTATTGTGTATAAAACATACTTACTATATACATAACCAACGGTAGATTCTGACTATTGGAAAAAACTTGTAAAAGTTTAATTGAATAAAAAATCTATTCTATGAAACAATAATTACCTGGAAACGTCCTGTAGCATAAAACCTTAATACAATAAGTAATTGCAGTTTTGGAGAAATCGGCAAGCCTCTATTGTCCAAATGCTTCAAATTGGCAATTATTAAAGGTAATTTTACATTTAAAACAGTGAGTTTAGTGAAACGGTATCTTCTTTTAAATTCATTTTCGTCATACAGCTTGAAAGGGTTTTGGTTGTATTCATTCCGAACATAGAATTTAGGCATGCGCCGAAAATTTATATCTACTGAAGTTCCCAATCTATCTATATTTTCTAAAGTAGATAGAACTCTATCTTTATTGTCCATTATATCACAGAAAAGTCCAAAGATTGTCGGGTCCAAATTTCTGAAGCGTAGGTCGAATAGGTAGGCAGAATCGGGAGTCCAAGTTCCAAAGCCAGTCGTAATAAAAAGATCAGGAGATTAAAATATATATAAAAACTTAAAATGCACACAATATCAATAAACCAAAAGCTTCACGTTAGAAAATAGAAACAGTGATTTGACAGCGCGCGCGAGCGGGTGATCAAACGTTCCGTTTCTATCTCATACTTTTTTACTAAAATGAGTTAAATGTACTTTTATCTCTCTTTAAATTCGCCTGTTTTCTACTTCATGTAATAAAAACTTATTTATGAAATACAATTTGGACTATTTTCGATTTTTAAATATATATATATTGTTTTTATTCACTAAAATCAATAAGATAATGCGCAGAATAAATCATCCATTAATTTTTTGACAGTCTGAGCCTTAGCATAAGCTTAGCACAATCTTAACCTGATACAACTATAAATTCGGAATCCAAGATAATGCTAAGCATTACTCAGCTAAGTTTTTCGTAAGCTAAGTCTGAGCAAAGTCCAAGTACGATTTATAGATCTTAGCCTAAGAGTGACATTAGAAATTATTCGAAAACTAACAAGCATAAACGAAAAAATGGATTTAAAAAGACATCTAACCTGCGCAAATTGTTCTGAAAACTATGACTAGAATATCAATCAGAGTGGAAGGAGATTTCCCTTTATTTATTGCCATACAATGTTCAATTTTAACTGTTGATCATTTAAGCGTATTGTGTAAAAAGGTGTTTTCCAGTGATGAGGATGCTAAAACATGCACTTACATCTTACAAAGTGTATTAACATTATAACCGAAATCTTAGCTCTATATTTTACGCAATCATTGATTGAAGATTTATTTAACTAAAAATACGGTGTACTTATAGATGAATTCACGCATGATTCAGTTTCATAACACTGGGAATCATTATACAGTACTACAGTGTAAACACCAATCCATTGGATCAGCATATCTCAAGTTTGATTCACTGGCACTGCGTAGAGACGTTGCATCTCTTTGCGTATTTTATCGTATCTATCACGGGGAGTGCTATGAGGAATTGTTCGGACTAATTCCAGCCACTTAATTTCACCATCGCACATCGCGATAAAACTCGCGATACCATGCATACCATCTGGATGATTGGCGGTCCACCACTGTGGGATTTAGAAGAAGTTTTCTCCCTCGCACAACTTCCTTGTGGAATCGATTACCACCAGCTATTTTTCCAGACCGATACGACTTAGGGGCCTTCAAGAAAAGAACCTACTCCTTTTTAAAAGGCCGGCAACGCATCTGCAATACCCCCTGATGTTACAGTTGTTCATGAGCGGCGGTAGTCATTTACCATCAGGTGAGCTGCATGCCCGTTTGCCCCCTCTCCAATAAAAAAGCTCGCTTTAGTAGAAACTGCAGATGCAAAAAATCTGGCTGCTGTTCTTGTTAATTCCTTTCTTAGATCTTAGCATCCTGATCACTAATAAGACAGGAATTGGTACAGATAATTCTTCTGTTATGGTGGGAGTAAATAACGGTATTGTCAAACTACTCAAGAGAGAACATGGTTTAAAAAGTTTGGCATTGATTCGCTGCGTATGTCATTTTTTATAACTTGCGGTTTCACATGCCTCAGTAAATACCGTACCTAGAAACATAGTTTCTTGTACGGGAAATCTACAATTGTTTTCGATTCCACCTAAAAGACAACAAGAATATAAAAAGTTTTATAACACGATATATTGTAGAAAACGGCCACTAAAAATATAAAAGGCTGTGCAACCTGTTGTCTCTCAATTGAATCAGCAGTTTGTAGAATTCTGGAGCAGTGTAAAGAAATAAAGCTACATTTTTCACTTTCAATAGTTCATGATAATTGCTACACAGTCGATCTTTTGTACAAGATTTATTGTAACGAATCAAATCAACTTTACATGCTTTACCTTAAGCATTCTTTAAAGACGTAAAAGTAGCACTATAAGCATTTGAAGGGGAAGACAATGACCCCACAAAATGACTAGATACACTAGTCTTTCTCATGCAGTCACTCGGAAAAAACATAGTTTTTCCAACTGTTGATTTGTTGACAACATCAGTTCCAAACGAATGTATGTACGCAAATCTACACATTGGCTATTATTATATAGGTTTGAAAAGAAAATGTCCGAGTCGAGTTTGTCTCAAGAAAATAAAATTTATTTAAAGAAGAGGTGCACTGAATTTAGTCTGAAACTCATAAAAGAGGTTCAGAAAAGATTACTAAATAACGTCACTATCCCGAAAAAAATTTCAATGTTAAATGTACACGAAACTTTAAAGGAGAATAAAAATAATGCAATTGCCGATGTACCTAAAGAATTGGGTTTTAATAACGATTTCATAAACGGTATGCTGCAAGAATGGCATAATATTAACTTTATTAAGCAGGCTAATACTACTCACACTGTTCGATTTTGGAGTGAGGTTTTCCAGTATAAGAATGCCGCCAGAGAGAATACTTTTTCTTTGATTTCACATCTGGCAATTATTATACTATCATAACCACACTCGAATGCTCAAGTCAAAAGAGTATTCAGTTCTATGAATGTAATAAAAATAAAAAAACGTCACAGATTGTCGCAAAAAAAAGCTAATAATAAAAGGATGGAAATATCATAGTTGAAAATTTTATTTCAAAACGTATGATAGGTTGATAAATTGTATAACTTAAGCCCCAACATTGCTCTTACTATTTTAAAATATTGTATAGGTAAGAGGTTTGTAAGGATCGTGACACTTGGCGATCTGTTCTCTCTGGCTACCCCGTCAGGGATTGTGCGTGAAGATAAGTAAGTAAGTCTCCTTGTACTTATATTTAAATACTCCACTCGAGTCCAGTCTGGAAATAGTCGGATATTTTAAAAGATATTGATAATAATCTTAAAATTGCTTTAGATTTTTTTTAATTGAACTTTTAATACCTAGATTTATATACTTACTCCGCTCGAGTCCAGTCTGGAAATGTTCGGATATTTTAAAAGATATTGATAATAATCTTAAAATATCTATAGAAAAATTCTAAATTAATCTTTAAATACAACAGCCTGGATTCAAGCTAATTTACCTATAAAATTTGGTGGTATTGGTGTGAGAAATCTTTCTGGAGTTGCATTGCCTGCTTTCCTTGCTTTCGTGCATAGTGTCAGTGACTTATGTAACATTTTTTTAAATAATAAAATAGACCTGTGCTTTGCTACGGAGGCAGGGCAGACATGGCAAACGCTCTGTCCTGGCGAAAATGTTCCACTGGAAATTAGTGATAGTAGTTTAGAGCTTTATAAAATATTAAAAGACGACGGCAAGAGACACGACGGTATGACATTGGTCCTGTAGGAGAGAGGTAAAGCGGCATCAGAGGCTGTTGAACTAAGTGGCGCAAGTATGAGTCTCTAAGAGATGACAACATATTTGGGCCATTTGCTGTAGAGACTATCGGTCCGTGGGGTCCATGTGCGGTGAAGTTCCTAAAGGAACTCTATTCGACTGGCCATTGCTGCTGGTGATAAGAGGACTGGTTCTTTTCTCGCTCAAAGGCTAAGTATAGCCATTCAACGAGGAAACGCAGCCAGCGTCCTTGGCACGATAGTACGGGAAGTAGGACTGTATAATAATTAAGTTACTAGTTTTTTTTATTATAGTTTTTTAATATTGTAAATAGTAAAATATTGCACATTATAATTCGGCCGTTCAGAGAATGCGTTCCTGACACCTATCAGTTAGTCACGACTAGTGATGGGCATAACATAATACTGAGTTCGTTACCGTTCCTCCAAAATGAACCGCCGCGTTATTTTTAAGATTATTTTCATTTTAAATTGGCGGAATCATTTAAAATTTATATTTTAGTAATTTTAGTGGAAAGCAAAAAAAGGTAATATTAATATAATAAAATTGTTTTATTTATTCTTTGTTACAAAGTTACAATCTGTATTTCTATGCAATAAAGTACATTGAATTGAATGTGCGTACAGAATATTAATCAGACTCCGATTCGCTTGAGGAGGTGGTGTGTTCATCATCATCTTCGCCTACATGTATAATTATATTATTATCAATAACAGAATCAATCCTGATATCTCGGTCAAAATGTTCCACAATCAGGTTTTTAGTCTTCTCAACAACCTTTGCCCAGTCATCTCTTGTGACTTCCCCGCAGGCTTCTATTAATAGGGTCATCATCTTTTTCGTGCTGAATGGCGGAGAAGTATTGTGGCGGGCGGCGTAACCTTTTATTTGAGCCCAGACTAGCTCAATCGCGTTATATTGGCAATGATATGGTGGAATTCTTAGAACGCGATGACCGTACTCCAGAGCCAGTTCATCGATTTCGTATCGCACATTTGCCGCTTTATTTTCTTTAACTAATTTAATTAGCTCTGGTTTTAGCATCTGCATATTTGCGTCAATGCCTTTTGCTTGTAACCAAGCCACCATTTCTTCTTTTTTATTAGCTTGGGTAGGTGGTTTCTGTATTTGAACCGAGTGATAGGAGGCATTATCCATGAATATTACAGAAGGCTCTGGTAGACTGGGCAAAAGCACGTTCTGGAACCACTCTTTAAATGTAGTGGCATTCATTTCCTCGTGGTAGTCATTTGTGGTTTTTGATTGAAATGCCAGTAACGCGTTCTCCACAAAGCCGTATTTTGCAGAACCTGCGTGGCATATTATCAGACAGGCCCCCTTACCCATTGGTACTTTCGACGTCGACGCTTGTGTATCATCCGTCCAAGAACGGGAAACCGTGTGATTGGCGTTTAGCCATGTCTCGTCAATGAACACGACATTATCCCAGTTATCAATATTTTTTGCTTCTCTCAAAAAACTTATCCGTTTTAAAATTATGTCGTATCGTTCTAATAAAATTTTTCTTTTGTCTGTTTTTTTATACGAAAAACCAATATCTTTTAAAATTTTGGTTAAAGCAGTTTTACCCCCGCTAAACAGTCCAGCTACTCTTAACGATGCCAAAAGCTTCTTCCTGTTGAGATATTCATTTCTGGAATAGTAATATATATTATTTCTGATTGAATCGGCGTCAAAGGTGTCAATATCTGTCACGGGTTTAGTTCTACGTTTCTTCTTCGGAGTACGTAAAATATTATCTTCCGTGCCAGTAGAGCCGAACTTTTCTTTATTAATATTTGTTATCGTTAGAATAGAATAGAATATTTTTTATTCAATATAGATTACATGTGTAATTCTTATTGAAAGTCATTTTTTACTTTACCACTGGTTTGAAAAAAACCCTCTGTCCTGGGAAGAACCAGCAAGAAACCCAGCGGGACTTTTTTTAAATAAATTTTACGATATAAATGATTACGAACTATTTACAAAATTTATTTTAGAAACTGCTTGGAAGCGATCACCTCATTCCCAGGGGTTATTATCAACCATGGATTCATTTATACTATAATAACCCTTTTTATACAGTTTCAGCTTAATAAAACATTTAAACTTGGTAATAGAGAGAACCTGTACACTTTCCGGGACCTTGTTGTAATAGCGTATACATTGCCCCAAGAATGAATTACTGGCTCTGTGGAGTCGAGAAACTGGTATCACTAGCTTGTGTTTGCTCCTAGTGTTTACAGAATGTATATCACTTCTTTTACTAAAACTATCTTTGTTTTTGTGAACATACATTAAATTTTCGTAAATATACTGAGAGGCCAAAGTTAATATATTAATTTATTTAAATTTATCTCTAAGAGACTCTCTCGGTTTTAGATTGTAAATAGCTCTAATGGCCCTCTTCTGTAAAACAAAAATAGTTTCTGAATCAGCCGCATTTCCCCATAGCAAAATCCCAGCTGTCTCGACACTAGTGTAGGGCTGCCATACGTCCCGGTACACCGGGACATGTCCCGGTTTGAAGCGTTGTGTCCCGGTGTCCCGGTCAACAGGTCATTTGTCCCGGTGTGCACACAATTCGCAAGCTACCCCTGTGTAGTTAAGTGCAGCGTCTGCGATCGGCGAGTGGTTGAAGTGGAGCGGAGTCGAGCGAGCGAGCCTAGCTGCCTTCTTTGATTATTAACACGTGCGCGTAGGGTTGCCAACTTTTTCAAAGGAAAATAACGTATATTCCTTTCAGACGGTTATATACACTATAATTATTACTATTCCACCGAAACAACAAACGTTGAGCATAGAGTACAGAGTACAATATATACTGGAGACATTGACTGACACTTGACTGTACTGACAGTACAGATTTTTCGAAAGTTGTATGATAATGTATTTTGTTGTTATTCTGTTCTGTGTATGTGTGAAAGTATAAAATGATTGGAAATTCTGAGTAATGGACTGAGTTAAATTCAGAAATTTGGCAGAATTCTTGCTTTCATTCAATTCACACAATATTTCACGCATAAGTTAGAATAAAGTATTTTAGATACTTTTTTCTTATTCAAAAGTATAAAGTATAATCAAGCAAAATACCGTAAGATACGTTATTTTAAAGTATAGTTGGCAACACTACGTGCGCGTCCCGCGCCGCGTGCCCCTCCGCCCTCGCGCCTTGAACGTCACGCGTCGTCGCAGTGTTTCGTTTGATTGCTTTAGAGAACAACGTACTTAATTTGCGCTGCGCGTTATCCTGTATTTCGTAGTTTAGTTTTTTTATTGCCAGTCTGGTATTTTGCTAAAAAGTCATGCCAAAAAGAAAGTGTTTGTTTTCGGACGATTATACTAAAGAGTGGTCATTCATTAAAAGAGGAAGAAATGATTATGAAGCCTTTTGTTCAATTTGCGGCTTTCATATATCTGTCAGTCACGGCGGTAAGTCAAGTGTCAAAGACCATATCCAAAGTAAAAATCACAAGACGAAATTATCAGTTGCATCAACTTCTAGAGATATATCGACATTTATGATCACGCAATGTACTGCCGAAGACATGTTAATATGCGCTGCCGAACTGACCACAGCTTATAAAGTCGTAAAGCACCACCAATCGTTTAGCTCTTTAGATTGTACGACAAAACTGAATGCCGTAATGTATCCTGATTCAAGTATCGCAGCAAAACAATCAACTGCAAGAACAAAAGCTACTGCTATCATTAAACACATTTTAGCTCCACACTCGATCGCGCAAATTAAAACAGAAGTCGAAAAAGTTCCTTTTTACGGCATTTCAACCGATTCTAGCAATCACAAAGCCGAAAAGTTATTTCCACTGCTGATACAGTACTTTACGGAAAAAGAAGGACTGCAAATTAAATTACTAAAAATAGACTCATTGCCGAATGAAACATCTGATACAATCACTTCATTTTGTATAAAATCGTTGCAGGATCAGAACATCCCCGTACAAAATATTGTTGCTTTCAGCGGGGATAACACAAACACTAACTTTGGCGGAAGAGATAGGTACGGAATTAACAATGTTTTTTTTAAATTAAAGGAGATTTTGTCCAAAGACATTGAAGGCATCGGTTGCCCAGCGCACATTCTGCACAATACAGCGTCCACTGCTGCCGATGTGATGTCGATTGACGTGGAGTCTATTGTTCTGAAAATTTTCAAGTATTTTTCCATATTCACTGTAAGAGTGGAACGGCTTAAAGATTTTTGTGAGCAAGCAGCAATAGAATACAACAATATACTCTCACATTCCAGAAGTCGGTGGCTTTCACTATTTCCAGCAATTGAACGCATACTAAAGTTATGGCTGCCATTGAAAGAATTTTTCGCTAAGGAAGCAAAAGCCCCAAAAGCTGTAGTCGATTTTTTTGCTGATCCCTTATCAGAAGTTTACACACTTTTTGTGCACAGTCAAGCATTTCTGATTGAAAAACAAATTAAAAAGATTGAAAAATCAGTTATTACCATTGTTAAAGTGAAAAATGTATTACAGGATACAAAAAAACAGTTGAGTGACAGATTGATAAATAAATATTTAGGCAATCAAACAACACAACTTTATAACAAACTAAAGAATGAAGGCACAATTAATACAAGTCAATCCGAAACATTTGACAAAGAAACAGGAGATTTTTTTAACACTGCTATATGTTATCTCGAACAGTGGACAGAGCCGATGACAAAATTTGATGTTTTCGCTTGGATGATTTTAAATGATATTCCTCAATGGCAACAAGTAGAAGAAACTACAAAATATTTAAATGAAAAGGATATAGGAATAGATGATTCAATGTATGAAGAATTTATGTACTTAAAATCGTTTATTGAATGTGAAATCAGCGATGAATGGAAAGCTAAAAATATGGAAGCAAAATGGAAACACTTTTTTGAAAAAACCGAAGAACTGGAAAGAAAAGCAAATCTTCTTAAAATGTGTCAATATATTTTTGCAATCCCAGGCCACAATGCTCACGTAGAACGAGTGTTTTCGTTAATTTCAGCGCAGTGGACGAAAGAACGAAGTTCACTCAGTGTAAGCACAATCGAAAGCATCATTCAATGCGTTTATAATTATAAAATGTCATGCACGGAATTTTATAATTACGTCAAAGGGGAAAAGGAATTACTGAAAAAGGTTAAAAGTACAGAGAAATATGAATGGGCAAAAAAAAAGGACGTAGTGTAAGAGTTTCTTATTTTTTGATTAAATTTTCTTAAATATTACCAGTGTTTTTGTATAATCCATGATTTACCCTATTTCTGTTCTAAATGTCCCGGTCGGCGTCTCGGAATTTATGGCAGGCCTACACTAGTGAGACCTCTAATCTTTTTTACAGCATAGGCTGCAGAACTTAGTCTGCTTGCTAATTTGGATATATGGGGCCCCACTGGAGCTTTGCGTCAAGAGTGATGCCAAGAAAAACAGTGGATACAACAGGGCTCAATTCCTCCCCATTTAAAAACACATTGGTATTAAGATTTTTAACTTTCGTTGTTGTAAATTTAACACAATTAGTTTTATTTCCGTTCAAATGCAGATTATTAACGTTAAACCAATGCACTAATTTTGATATAGCATTATTCACTTCGTCACATTTAAATGATTGACGTTTAAGTTTAAGAATCAAGGAAGTATCATCAGCAAATAATACTATATCATGACTATCCCCTACAAGGTGAGGTAAGTCATTAATATACACCAGAAACAGGAATGGGCCGAGAATCGAGCCCTGAGGTACACCCATTAGTACAGGTGACCCGGAAGAACTTTTACCATTGATAATAACCTTCTGTTTTCTATTACTTAAATATGAAATAATAAGTTTAAGCGCTGTGTTCTTGACACCATAGTACTGTAGCTTCCTGATTAATGTCTCATGGTGAACACAGTCGAAGGCCTTGAAAGGTCACACAATATACCCAAAGCATCCTCTGAATTCTCCCATGCACAAAAAATATGTTTAATAAGCTCAACTCCAGCGTCAGTTGTCGAGCGACCCCTTGTAAAACCGAATTGATTTTTATGTAGCAATTTATTAATATTAAAGAAACTTAACATCTGATCTAAAATAATTTTTTCAAAAATTTTACTTAATGTTGGTAGTACAGAAATTGGTCTAAAATTGGCGGGGTCTAATGTACTACCAGATTTAAATATAGGTATGACTTTACTATGTTTCATTAAGTCAGGAAACACACCAGATTCGAAGCTTATATTAAATATAGTGGCTAGATAAGGTGCTAATGTATCTATTATAGATAAAATAACTTTAACGGAAATCCCCCATAAGTCTGCCGTTTTCTTAACATCAATAGTTTTAAAATATTTTACGATATATTTTAGCAGTACCCCATGGAATTTAAAAATATTTGAACAAGCCTTTACATTTTGTTTGAGCAATGATTCGGCGACAGTAGGAGAAGAATTTAATGATTTTGTTGTCAAAAAAGGAACATCAGTAAAATGTTTCTCAAAAGCCATAGCAACTTCTTGATCAGATCGCGTTAAATTATTGTTAATATTCAATTGAAAATCCGAGTTGCGCGGTTTGACCTTGCCCGTTTCACTATTTATTATTCTCCAGGTCATTTTAATTTTGTCGGATGCAGTTTTTATTTTGTTGCTTAAATGTAAAGCCTTAGCAGTGGAGCACACTTTTTTAAATATTTTAGAATATGTTTTTACATAATCTCTAAATATAACACTACTATTATATGATCTTTCATCATAAAGCTCGTATAACGTTCGCCTACTTTTATAAATTCCTACTGTCGCCCATACATTAAATGATTTGCGACTATTAAAAGAGAAAGTTTTAGAAGTAAATATTCTACTAAATTCACAACGTATAATTTCAAATAATGTAGCATACAAATAATTAGCACTATTTTTAAACGAAAGTGATGGAAGTCTTTTTATTATATTACTTCTAAACCTCTACAAGCGATGTTCATTTATTGGAACAAACACAACTTTCTTATTTTTCTGTTTTTTGTGTATGTAAGGTAGTGATACTAACTCTCCACAGTGATCTGAACTTAAATTTTGAATAATTGATTTATGCAAGGGCTTAACATCTGTAAAAATGTTATCTATACAGGTCGCACTAGGCCCAGCAATACGTGTTGGTTCTAAGAATAAATTTACAAGATTATACGATTTAAACAATGAGCGAAACTTAATACTAATGGAAGAAGTTTCAAGGAAATTGATATTAAAGTCTCCACACATTACAACAGACTTGTTCTGTTTACTAAGTTTGAGTAAAACTTCTTCCACAATCCTTTCAAAATGGTCATAAGTAGCACATGGGGGTCTGTAAACACTTACAACAATGAGGTGCTCGAGCTCGACACAAGCCATTTCTACAGTTCGTTCAACAGAGAGGCTCACAATATCCTTACGTTCTTTATATAATAGAATAGTTCGTTTGCTAACTCCAAGCGCCTGAGAGACGCGTTCTTGTACTTGTTCGACAGGTAACAGGGGTCCGCCATTTTGCCGCTCCCGCTCAAAGTAATCTTGCAGCTTGATGATTAACTCACGGGCTCCGTTTTTCAATGTTTGTCCACGTTTAGGCATTATTATGCATCAAAAGTAAAAAGAACGCAATACAAAACACAATCGAAATCCGATTTAGCGCCGATGTCAGTTTGAAAATCAGAATCAGTCCATTAAACGAAAGCCGGGTAATCAAATAAAAACAGATCGAAAACACTTGAAGAACGTGGTCTATGCGCACGAAACGACAACAGACGACTGTTTTAGCGTCACAAAATGGCGGCCCATAACGCCATTTGGGGTTACCATTTTCAACCTAAATATAAAAATGCTACTTTCTTTCGCGCGTTCGGTTTGGTCGTAGTTTTATTTTTATATTTAATAAAAGTTATCATATAGTCCATTATTTTCAAATTCTTAAAAAGAAAAACAAAACGTATTATTTTATAAGGTATAACTGTATAAGAACAGATTACGATACTGTTATTGCCTGTTATTGTTAGCACAGCACTACAAATATAAAGCGCTGACATAACCTTGTAATAGCGCAGTATAGATTTAGAAAAATATTGTTTACGAAGTTATTTGACACTCAGTTTGGCACAAAATTATAACATTCATTGATTATTGATATAATAATGTTGTTTTAATACTCATCAATTGTTAAAACGGTAAACAACCAGCAAACATATTTTTATCGTAACTGCAACGCCATTACAAAGTTACGTCGTCAGTTCAATCGCGACGTGTCAGGAACGCATTCTCTGAACGGCCGAACTATATAGGTTATGTAAATAAATATACTTGATTTATTATAAAAATCAAAATTTTAATAAAGATATTATTTTTGTCAAAATATAGCTAATTTCAAAAAGTCGACTTTGGATTGTTGCAAGATTAATTTTTAGTTTTAAAACTAAAACTTTTTCATATTTTTTCTCTATATAAATTTAAAATTTATAGTATGTATTCTGTAAAACAACGTCTATTATATATAAGAATGTTGTGCATAACTTTAATTTAAATGCATATGAATAAAGTATTTTTTCAAAAATTGTGATAACATAAGATCCCTTTATGTATTTAGTTGTAATATATATGATGGTAATATATATGTTAAATTAAAAATTAATATATTTATATGTATTTAAATTATAATCAAATCACTGCCACTAGCCTCCCAGAACAAAGTCCTGAGTCCGCTCCTGGTAGAATCAGTTTTAAGCGACTTTCTAGCGACTTTTGATATTTAGTCTAGGGACTCGAATTTATAGGAGTTGGCAACACTGGTCGTTTGAGATATTTTACGTTAATTATCGTTATAATTCAAGAAATAGTGCAAACTTGTCTAGTGCGTAGTTCCGGCAGTATATGGTGCCTAGGAGGTAATATAAGATTTCACGTGAAAGCAGATTTTAAAAACAAAAAATGAGTTTGAGGCTTGCTGCGCAAGTACTTAGTCCATCTGCTGCTGATGCAATAAATTTTTTGGGGGTTAGTGATCATCCTGACTTTCTAAACAGCGAAGTGACTACGGAGTTCTTGCATACGATAGGTATAGTTTTTGATCTCATGAATTTTAAGTCACCCTTTGGAAAAGGTTCTAAGTCTCCATTATCGTTAAAAACAAATGTTGTTGAGAACTAATATTGAATGACATTAGAATGTTTTTCAAATTGTTAACAATAAATGGTAGAGGTAATTTAAGAAGATTTTATTATGGTTTATAATGAGCATAAATTTAATTAAATATTTGTCGACTTTTAAATCTTCGAAATTCTTTTTCTTGCATGAGGGCTCGCGGTAGGGCACAAGATAACTCGTGTCCTCTCAAGTTCCGCTACATAATGAGAAAGATGTTGTTCGAACATTCTATTCAAACATCCGTCAATGCCAGCTGCATAGAAAATAGCTTTCAGACTACACACGTCTTCGATTTCAATAAACAGAAACGTTTGTTTCAGCCTCGGGAAGAACCTGACTATCAACAATAAGTTGAAAGTTTGTTTCAGATCAGAAAGATTCATACTAGTCCATTCTAGGAAAATATATCTTCTATAATTCGACTTATCCATAGAATAGAGTCTGATGTGATCATGGAATAAAAACGAGTTAAATAGCTAGACGAGTTATGGAATACAAACTCTACAGACGTATGTTTTTAGAATTTTCGTATCTTATTTAGTTTCGGAAATATAGACTCGAATAACGTTCGATATGCCATTAGCTTCACATATAAACGCGCTAATTGATCAAGCGACGGCGCGCGGGGAGCGGAAGCTGCGCGGGCGCCCCGTCCGTTCGTCATTCCGACCGCTTTTTGTTGGAGGAAGAGCGATTTTGTATAAAGCGCGTAGCTTTTTTTCGGTTAGGTGAAATCTAATTTATCAAGTATTTTGCGTGAAAACATTTTTTTGGAGATGTCACGATCACGAAAAATGTTGGACAGGCTTAAAGAAGAAGGCCTGAGCTAAGTTCATTAATTTCAAATATTCCTGCTGTTTACATAAAGAAAAGTGTAAATGCTTGTAAGTTGACGATTTCAGTTGCATTATTTCGTGATACACTCTATTAAGTTCTTAAATTAATAAATATAATGTCTTTATTGCTTTTTTGTCTCAGTAAACAGTAGTGGGCGATCGATTTTTATATAGGACGTTTTTTGACAGAGAAGTATAGAAAGGAATTTTTACTGCAAAAATACGATTAACGTAATGCAATTACTAATTACTTTTACAGGGTAATTGTTCTTTCTCTTGTAATAAACAGAAAAAAGTAGAAGTCCTATGAAATATTAGGACGAATTAATACGAACATTATTGAATTTCTAAGCGTTTCATAGGCGACCCTTCCCGACTCTGCCGTTCACCTCTGCAAAATAAATTGGCTTTGTCAAATTGGTGGGAGATTTAAGGAGAAAAACAGTCTGCTAACATTGCTTTAGTCGATTGTTTTGTAGACGAGTTAAAAGCATTTCTAAACGGAAAAGAATACAGTTTCGATTTTGTATACAATCCGGACAAGTAAAACAGGTCTTTATTGGAAAGCTCTACCAAGCAGATCATTAGCATCGCGTCGTGAAAATGCAGCTTGGGGGCACAAAGTGAGTAAAGATAGAGTCACAGTTATCGTTTGCGCGAACGCTAAAGAAACACATTGATTGCCACTGCTGCTTATTGGTGAATCAAAACATCAACGTTTCAAAAATGTTAAAATCCTCTTAACTTACGCTAATCAATAAAAAGCCACGATGAACACTGATATTTTTCTTACTTGGTATAAAAAAAAAACATTTATCCCTGAGGTGAAGAAAGGACATTGCTCTGCGCCCATACATTGTTCGCCCTAGAACCAAGAGCATCGGAAATTTATGTATTTTATTGTTGATCATTAGTAAATTCCTATTTGATCTTATTTTTATAGCGGACTAGCTGCATAATAGATATATTTCAAAAAAACTATCGGATTTTGAGGTTATAATCGAACCATGAATATTACGGTTTTTCATAGATCCGACATTTAGCTATTTCTAGTACCTATCTACATAATTAGGTATGCAATTTTTGTTCTAAAGCCTAAGTATATGTAAGTGCAACGTATAAATGCATAGAATGTAGTTAACAAACCTGCTTTCTGAGCATTGGTTTTGAAATGAGAGATAATGTTTCTGTGTATTAATGTAAAAATAAAAATATATGTATATAATGGCTGTTAGCATTTAGATGTCATTAGCATATACGGTATGGTAAGATACCTAGTATCGAAATGTATAAGGATTTAGGCTGTCAGTCACGCCGCTAGACATGCCGTCGAATAGCGAGCGTATCAACCACGGTTTCAACCAAGTTTCAACAGCGCACGCATGAACAGCGTGAATATCATAGACTACTATCTAGTACATTTGCAAGCGTGGGCGTCTGGACGGCGCTGTTCAAACGCGTGACTATGAAACCAGCCCTACCGACTTAGTACCTAAGCGGCCAACGCTCCCCGGGCAGAACACCTTGCCCGGCGTGAGATCTCCCCTTTTCCATCCACCCGCCACAGGTAGTATAAGTTGTTTTTACACGTACATTAACTTATTATGTTTGAATTAGAAATAAAACACAGCTTAATTTCATGTTTATTGTTCATTTTCTAAATTGTAAATAAGAATATTGTATAAAAACTGTGCAGGGATGTCGATATTATTTTGATGTCTCGTATAGCTCAAGTACCAAGTAATGGTCATAACATGCGCGCAGCAACCGATGGTTCTGCGTATAACGATGCAATTACAGCAATATTGCACGATTGCTTCTCTGTTCATCTTTAAACAATATTGTACCACCAGCAGAGCCGCTATTTACACAAAATACATTTTCCATTGCGTATGCGTAAGTCCGTTTATGAATGCTAGGTTATCGTTTGAGTGGTACACAGTTCCAAAAATTACAGCAAGGTAAGTCGTTCTTGAAAGCAATCAGAGTCCGTTAAAATAGCCAAGTCGTAATGTTCAATATATCGTCGGTCGAAAACAGTAGTGGAACATCTCTGAAAATTGGTTTTTAACTTTTTATGAGTGTTACATTACTATTTCAGTGCCAATTCTATATCAGTATCGGAATAAGTCAAACTCCACATAGAAGTCGATTAAAAATAAAAGTTCCACTTCTACTCTGTGCATATAATATTATTCAGTATTGGGACACTTCGAAATGTTCCAATACGGCACTCAAAATCAAAAGTTGAATTAAATTTATTCCACCACGCTTCTCGATCTCGCATGAGTCTCGCGCGCATTTGTTTAGTTACGCGCTGCATGCTGCGCTTGGTAGACGTATTGTCAAAAGTAATACAATCTGCAAAAATGTCTGTGTCTAAGTTATATGGAAGATCAATGAAAATGTTGCAAATGGTAATCCATGAAGACGCCAATATTGAAAACAAAGGTGTGTATTCTATTTGTAACGTTTGTGTATTTTGTAAGGAGTCGTTACTTTTAAAATTTTGCACGCTTTGGCTATATTTTAACCACTTTTATTCTACAGAAAGTGATATAAAGCAAGTTGAAGAGTATTCTTTGCCACAAAATGAAGAAC